TATTTCTATTTCTATAGCCAAAGAAATCTCCGAATATATCTGGAACATCCTTAGGTTACGTTCATTTATATTGAACGAATGATGTAGTTCATTATACATTTAAGTTTTTACAATTCACTGGTAGCAGATTTTTATTTTACTTATTAATCTTTATATATATATATATACATATATCTGTATTCTCACACACACATACTTCTTGCTGTAAACCCGTTTTTGAAAGCAATAAAATTATTATTATTATTATTATTATATATAATGATATATAATATGGAGATTATCATAATCTGTTCAAGTATAATTATGTAGGATAAGACCGAAAGTAAAATGTTTCCATCAAAGTTTTTCCTGAAACAAAGATTCCAGATATCGAGTTCAGCATTCTTATTTTGATAGAAGATAATATATCATAGGTACAGTCGTCTTCAGAGATCATGTCGCACATGGACGGTGTCAGCTCCCTTGATCACTACTGCAATAAGAGCGCTCATACCGTCCAACCGCGACATGTTCGCTGAAGACCACTGCACTTGTTGGATCCTAGATGTCACCTACCTGTGATGGCAATGTTTTTCTTTCAGAAGTCACACCTTCAGAGGACAGAATATACGATATGGTGAAATGTACTTAAGAGAAGAATACCAATGTGAGTTATATCGTTGTTATATGCTGAGTGTTCCGGAGGTCGACGGAAAGTCTTACGTGTTTGACTTTCATAGTTTTTTTTTCAAATTCCAGTTTTTCACATAACATAGCATATCAAAACATATCGACATAACAATGGAACATGACACCTTGGTCAATATTTTTTCTGATACTATAGTGTATATCAGCTCTGTATTTCTGAAAAAGCAGGAATCACAGATATTTCTCGAAATGTTCATTCTCCTAATGAAACTCCATTTTCACTTCGATTTTAACAAGGATTTTCGATCGAAATATCAATGATTTCGGAGATATTCTTATGAGATAAATGTGTCACTTTTCATCATTGTATTAAGAACACTAATGTGAAGAAATGGAATTTTTCTGAAGAACTTGAATTCATGGAAAAACTGAAAAACCGTGAAACTTTGTATGTTTGGCTCAAGAGAATCCGAAAATGTTATTTGTAACTGAGTCATAGTGAGCTATGGCCTACATTTGAAAAACTGAAGTTGGTGCTGATATTTCAAATTCTAGAAGAGTTGGTATAAGTTTCATATTTTTTACAAAATCACTTTGAAAAACTGCCATGAGGATGTGAAATTCCTATTTGAATATTTTCATAAATAAAGAAGTTACAAAGGAGACATGAAAATAATCAAAATCTGTCTTGACAAACTCCACGTTTGGTGTCATTCAACCGACCTCGTATCTCTCACCGTTAAAAAGATACCCATGGTGAGCATGGTAAGTGGGACACACTGTATAGTTCAGTTATCAGTTGAGTCAGGATTTCGATATTTTGCGGACCTCAATTGTATCATAGGGTGCATACCAGGAAAAAAAAACGATTATACAGGGTGTCCCGAAAAAGTGTGACGTCATGATTATATATTTTTTAAATGGCATGCCATATATTTCAATGCATATTTGAGTGCTTCTAGTGGTCACCTACATACTATCTTGAGGAACAATTTCAAAATTTTTCAGAGTAAATCTAAATAATTTGAGGTAGAATCTATAAATGTTCATGTAACACTCTATGTATTTTCAACATTCAATGAGAATTAGATAGTGCACATAAAACTACAATTTCCATATATAAATGTACATTCTTGAGAAAAAAAAGTGTGATAATTTCAGATAATGAATGACTAATGCCTATGTATCAAATACTTGTATACCGAATACATAGGACGATCGATATAAAATATATATGTAGCGTAAATTTGAATCGGTATTTTGGCAAGATGAAAGTCGTTTATTTATTAAATTCTGGCTGTGTTCAAAACTGAGAATACAATGAGATCGATTCTAACTCAAACAAATAAGACGATAAATGAAGAACAATAGTCAAAAAAATTTATTTACAGTATATACCTTGTGTTTGTGGAAAGTTTAGACAGGTGAAACCAAGAGACCTTTTTCAGTAAGGACGAAGGAACATAAGTAGAAGTAAAGACACATTGACAAATCGAAACTAGCTGAACATATCCTTACTGAAGATGGACAACATATGGCAGAATGGAATGATATTAAAATCATTGGAAGAAGAGATAACAATCAGAAGAAAAAAGTGAAGGAATCTGCTTGCATTCTTCTGAACGGAGACAATTACATTGCTTCCTGTTCAGTAGATATAAAAAGAAAATGGTATTCACTACTGAAATCTGAAAAAACAAAAATGGTAAATTTGATTTAATAAATGAAAACATCATGTAACTCTTTGATTGCCAACGTCACCAATTGTCACTGAGAACTGGAAAGTATCGAGACAAATGAGAAATTGCTATTCAAATATCTATTTTTCATGTTGAGAACGGGAGCAGATTCGTTCCAGAAACGTCCAAAGCTAAGTGAAACTCTCCAAACCTTTTTCAATACAAATTGTCAATGACAAGCTGGTGAATTTTCCTTTTAGGCTCTCTGATAAAAAAATTCTTCAAACGCAGTGACATTTTGGGGCAAATCATCTGATTTGTTCTTACTACACTGAAATAATATTTATATTTCTATTTCATAGAAACGATAGAGAAACCCAAAAAATCTGGAATGATGAATCGTTTATTAGTTTTTTTTTATTATGGCACATTCGCCATATCAAACATGTATATGTATGTGAGTCTAAGAAATGAATGAATCTACATTTTCGAGGGTGCGAACAAGGGAGTCGTTAATCTATGAAACAAGTGAAAAGCATTTCATGAAACTTTCAATCTCCTTCTGAAAAGATTGGTTGAGTAAGGCAGTGAAGTGTCTTGAACAAGAATCATTAAATGATTAACATCAGTTGAATTTCTCGAGATATCAATGCAACTATCTGTGCGATAAATAACAATTCCAAATCATAGATAAACTATTTATTTGGATAACAAGCATGTGGATAATAAAAAATCAAATAATGCTCATTATCATTGCATAGGTGGAGATAATGATGTTTTTTCCAAATTAATGTAGAATCATCTTTTGTTTAAATCAGACTGGGTGCTTTTTTTTTTCATTGAAGAATAACCAGGACCGGGATAAGACTATTTTCTGACCGACCGTAAATAGTCAAGATATCACAATTCGATTTATTTATAATTATTGTTTCTTCAATCTGTCATAGTATATACTATGATACAATTATGTTGTGGTACTATTCAATGAATGTAGTGACTGGCGCCTATTTCACTTAACGTTTATTCACTACCGACTCCTCTGATTGTATAGTTTATGCACAGTCAGTTGGAAAAACACATCACCGCAAGCCGTCGGACCCTTTGATAGTTCATAGTTTGCGGCAGCGCAGCCCGACATTCGTTTGATGATCTGTTCAACTGACTTTGCATAAACTATACCATACGTTTAGGTTAGGGTTTTAGTGTTAGGTTAGTTAATTAAGATTTATCTAACCTCTTGGACAATCGGATGAACTTCATAAGGTGGTACAAAGTTCGTACCTTACGATAATGTATTTTGCAATCTGTTTGATTCATCAACCGGCGAAAGATAAAATAATAAAAATACCCAGCGTTCTATAACTGATTCCAAAACTCGCTTAGAACCATATCAAAATTCATCAAAGTGTGTCGCTATTATGAAGCATTATATCTCACACTTAGATTCCAATCAGATACGAGCCCGGACTGGTGATGCCACATTCACTCATTCCTGGACATCATTGATGGAACACCGCAGGAAAAAAAACGACTTTTCACTTCTCTATAGGTTCTGCCACAGGAAATGATGATCTCGGCTAACAGTTCATCACTAACAGATAACAGAAGGCTAACAGGCAGCACATAGAACAACTTTTTGTCGTCAACCATGCACGAAGTACTAAGTCACAGAGCTCCGGAATTCTCTGCCTGATAAGTATACTTTTAAAAGTTCAAAAAAATTCCAATACCAATCTTCTCTCTCTATCCTTTCTATAGGTACGTACGCACACGTTGTTTCGCGAAAATAATAGGAATTTCCTCTCGTCCACTCCAAAAAATTAAAAAAAAAATATTGATGTGTCGCAATTCAATTACGAAACTATTTTAGAATGTCATGTTCACCTGGTGTATAAAGTAAAGACAACGTTATCAACTTGTTCTTTGATAGTAGCATAAGTAAGTGACCATATAAGCATCTCTAGATATATAAAATAATTTCTTGTAACATTAAAACCTCACATAAGATGAAAGTCCGTATATACTTCTGATAGTATATTATGCAGAAAGTGTTATGAACGTCATTTTGGTAACGAGAATTTTGAGCACGCGCGCAGCAGAGCGTTACATACTATACTTTTTCTACGAACTCATAATTCCTCTCTTCGACAAGATCCCATAATTCTGAAAATTAGTTGATAACCTATCTGCTAACCTACAAAATAATTCAAAGGGAATGGGAATTGAGAAAATAATACATATAATACTATGCAACTGCATGGAAGTGAGTAACGAGACACGTATAAGTTATATTGGTTGTAGATGTGCGTCCAGTCCATAGGATAGATGAATTTCTATTGAAATGACTTGTTTACTGACCTTCGTGAATAAGATTCCATGTGACGTAGTAGATAAAAACTATTCGATTCGCTTAGGTGTCAAAGTTTTCGATTTCTCTATATGAAATTAACGGCATCATTTTCATTGATGAAAAATGTATTCTATATATAGATATTCAATGTCTGTCTATTATTGTTATTATTATGATCAGTATAATTATTATTTCGTTTTAATTTATGAGATATTCGGTAGCGGAACATGGAAATAGATTGATGCTTCGTTGAAAAAAGTCAGCTTTTCTATTAAATACTGTCCTGCTCTCTGAGGCGATTGGGATTGAAATATATATAAAGGTAATAAAACTACGAAAACCATTCAATTCAGTATAGTCCTTCGATTCATCATAATAGGATAAAAATATATATATTCAAATATGTACAAGTCAAGTGTGTATATAATTCTGTTCTTCATAGCAGTGGAATTTTCATCTGCATATTTGAAACTTGAGGTGAGTACAGTGAGAAATAATATAATAGGTCGCAACAAACAGCATCATTACTCGAAATGCTGTTTTGGAATCTTTACATTTCTGATGAAGAATAATTCTGATATAAACGGAAATTGTTTTAATAATTCAGACTGCAACACAATATGGAAATGACATTTGACAGTTCTTACAATTCACAGACCGGATAGGAGAGGACTGAAACGACTGAAGGTGTGTTCAATAATAGTGTTCAACAGCAGGATTATTCAATTTTCAAGGATGTTCGAACTGTAGTTCATTCAATATGAATACAACCATAGAGTGACATATTTGTGTATGGACCAGGTGCTCTAATGGCAAATACCGCACCAGTGCCTGGTATTAGAATATCGATTATTTATTCCTGTCCAAACGACACTGTGTATATAACTACGAAAACCATTCAATTCAGTATAGTCCTTCGATTCATTATAATAGGATAAAAATATATATATTCAAATATGTACAAGTCAAGTGTGTATATAATTCTATTCTTTATAGCAGTGGAATTTTCATCTGCATCTTTGAAACTTGAGGTGAGTACAGTGAGAAATAATATAATAGGTCGCAACAAGCAGCATCATTACTCGAAATGCTGTTTTGGAATCTCTACATTTTTCAGCGAATCAATCAATTTTGATGTAGAGTGAGGAGTTGCTTGAAACGTACCGCGTACGTACTAAGTTTCATTTAGCATCATAATAATATGTGATGCATAAAATGACCAAGAGGGTACAAAATTGAACATTTTGTAAATTTTCGAAATCAACCCCAATATTACTATACCCCTATCCACTTCGATGAATTTCCATTTTTGAACTCATTAGTTTGTCTTCATTGATTCATGAGATTTGTCATCGAAATTCCAGAATTATTTCAAAAACATGAGAAGTTATAATAAATACACTCTCAAGTTCAGTGTTCCGATATGAATTTTTGTTTTCATCTATGGTTTCATCATCTGAGCTGATTCCTATGGACTTCACCTGGTGTTGCGTTTTCTTAACTTTTCCGCAGAAATCTGTGTGTTTCATATCAGTTGGTTTTCTATCTTTGTGCTTGGTCTTATGCATAATCCCCACAGATGTCTCCCCATTCACTTGGTCTATGTTTTTTTCCAAAATGGAAGCTTTTGGGAGAAAGCTGGAAAAGCGACTTGTTCGTAAGGCCCGAAAATATTTTTCGTATTAGTTATCCCGCCCCACATAATGAAGTATGATAACTCCAACAATTGTTGATTGTATGATTTTTTGAGTATTTTCAGTCATTCCATCCCCAATTTCCTTGTAGGTGATATTTTCTTGTTTTCGTGAGCCTGATGATGGCATATATATGCCGGAAGCATGTTCCTCCGACCCTTAATTTGGAAAAATATACTTCGTGGATATGACTAGACGGTTTTCTACTGTTAATGTTTTCGGATCATAATATTTTTTTTATGGTTTATGCAATAATTGGTCTAAGGTGATCGTTGTGTTTCAGTTAAGAAGAATTAGACCATTCCAATTGTCCTGCTTGAAATTGAAGAACCCTTACGGTAAATGACTATTCGAATATAATTTCAAATTCTCAATTAATCTTCCTTATTATTCATTCATGCATTCGAGTTGAAATCGATATCTTTTTGATTAGTCGAATTATTGAAAAAAACTGATTTGAATTTCAAACTCTCACGTCCAGTAAGGCGAACATTGGTCTCAGAAAAAGATAGCCTTGAGGAACGTCATATTATTTTTGTTCCAAGAATACACGTCTTGAGGACGTATATTTGGGCAAGAGTATGGAAACAGGTGAATATCTCAGTGAGTGCGGCAACTTCTTCAGTTCTTCCGGAATTATATTTAACTTCCTCGTTCTGAATAGAATACCCTGTATTTCATTGAATTTCTTCCTCAGAAGCTGATTTCATAGATCGATCACACTTATATGGTCTAGCGGGAATGATTACCGAGATATAGGGTGGTCAAACCTAGTTTATTCAACTTTAGGATATTTTTATGTCGAAACTATTCATTATAGCTCGAAACAGGTTCAATGAATCGATCTTAACTTTCGATTCACTATCTACTGACATGTAATTGGAACAGATACATGGTGATCAGAATTCTGGATCTTGAACCATCCTGTATTTGTTTCAATTAAAAAAGTCAGTAGAACGCGAATCAAAAGTTAAGGACATACATGTGATCCGTTTAAACCAATAATGAATGATTTCAACACAAAAAAATCGTATAGTTGAATAATCTCGGTTTAAAACACCCTATTAATATCTCTGTAATCATTTTCTATAGATTCCAAGTATGATAGATCGATGAGATCAGCTTTTCAGAGAGAATCTGAAAATTCTATTCAAAATGAGAAATAGCTAATAATAATTCCGGAATAACTGGAAAAGTGGCAACATTGGCGATAACGTAATCATATCCGCCATGTTTTGATATCACCTAGACATCCATTCGGAAAAAATCTAAAGAACGGTTACAGATAATATGTTCACCTGTTTCTATACTTTTGCCTCATCCTGTATACTGTTAAGGGATTGACCTCCTTCTCTTCACGGACCCCTTGAATATAGGCAAATATCGTGTGAGAATACCACATTCGCCACTCACAGGTTTAGGATATGCTTGTCTAAAACCATTGAAAATGCCATTGTTGATGCGTTTCAGATCTCGAATATCGATTACCTTTTACAAATATGATCACAATATCAAGATATTATTTTGAGATTTCGAAATTATTCTACAGATTAGATGATAGGTAGATATTGGACTATGAAATGCGAATCCGTTGGAAATTGATTTGGGTTGGTACCGACTATTGAGAAAATCAGGAATTCCAAAAATTAATGAGAACTATAAGAGCAAAGCAGTAACAATTTATAAAGAAAACGTTTCCTTTACAGGAACTTGGAGAGAACCTTTCGAAACTGGCACCGGTGTTACACAATACTTGTGTCAAAAAAACAGGAATACCCGAAGCTACAATATCAAGCATGAGAGAAGGAAATTTTGAGGAAGAAGACAAATCAAAGGTAAATATTGGTAACATATGAGAATTTGAAATCTTCCATGAATTGAAGCGATAAATGGAGTGAGTATGATAGAAGATGAAAGAACAAAATCAAATGATTGATTTTTTTTGCTGAAAGCAACAAATTAATATCGATTATGATTTTTGCACATAAAGCAAACAACATTTTTTCGATCGATTTACATTAATTTTTATTTCAAAATTTCTTCAGGAGTCATTTATAAAACCATAAATGTAATAGTGATTCTTGAAATTGTTCTACAATAACATGAACAAGTTGAACTAAATCATTTTTATAAAACCATAATTATCTGCTTTTTGAGTTTATTTCAATTTCAATATTGCGGCCAGTGCAATTTACTAAGAACAAACTTCATTCTCCGTAATTTCTTCAATAATATATATCAAATTTTATATAAATTTTGAGGAATAATGAATGTCATGCACGATGGTCCTAGAACATTGAAGGTATTCTCTTTCGTGCACTCCAAGCGAAAAAAAAGTGCGCAATATGCTACTTCGTAGATCGAGAACTGATTTTTTTGAGGAGGCGCAACCGAGTAAAACAAATGGGGGGCAATAAAAATCAATAAAGTCAAAAGAAGCCGTTAAATAGTTATTTGTGAAACTAGTGAAAACAAGGGTGTTTGTTGCATGATGCGTGAAAGGTCACTTCAGCCCAAGTGTTATATAATATAGTATAGGATGCTTATAACAGAAAAAAAAAACGGAAGAATAATCCAGAATTCCCTTACAACCTACAATCATTTCTAGACAAAAGGAAAACCTACCAGAAAAATCACATACTGTAGGTTGATTTGCTAGTGCTGTAGTGCATTTGTCAACCACCTTCGTGCAGATATATTTCAAAGCTTTGTACAATTCTCTTTCAAATTCGTTTGAGCGGGTATAACCCTATTTTCCGGGTCTCAAAGGAGCCTGGAATTTATGATAACCCAGTTGCGCCTATGGTAAAAATAAGCCTAATCTATAGACTCAGCAGGTTATCAATGACATACTGTCGCTGCTCATTATCGGAAAACCCCCTACCCTAACAAATGTTTCGAAATCGTGAACCAAGAATGTATTTTACATTGGACACTTTGCTTGACATTTTGAGAGCCAGAAATAGTGGGAGATCAAATGTTGACGAATGACGTAAGATTGAGAAATTATTTTGAATATCTTGTTGATAATTATAGACGAGGATTCTGAATTTCCTTCTTGAATTTGTGCTCGTGCTGAAGCTAGTAGTTACAGAACAAGAAAGTGCTGTGAATCCTTTCATTCTGATTCAACTAAAAGTTTGTATGCACCTCATCCGAATATTTTTAAATCTGTTCAAATATTGAAGGAATTTCAAACTGAAACTTACATTGAAATTAATAGTATTCATATACCAATTAAAATCACAAATGAATAGTATGAAGACAGAATTCAAATCTTAGCCAAAAATTTAAATATATCAAATCATGGACAAATTGAGAGGTTCGATTTTGTAGAAATTGCGTCTTAGCATTATAATGAAATCTGTACATAAATAAATGTCTTGTACACTCTGAATGAATGTCTTGTATACTTTGTCAATGATTAAGTATTTCAGTTGAATAGTGTAGTTTCATTGTACTAAATGTACATCTACGCATATGTACATTGTACATAAGCGTAGACAGACATGCTGTACGAAATATTAAATTCAAATGTAGGTTAATTAGCTGTTAAAGTAATACATCAGAACAGCACCTAGCAAGTCCTATGAATGCAGACAAACATTCTAATAAATTTTCAATCTTTCAACTGTTCTCTTGCGGATATACCTCGACCGAATTTAAGAAAATAAGACCGTTGTATAGAGATTTGGAATACCCCCAGGTTAGGTTAGGTTAGGTTAGGTTCCATGTGAGTGGGGCGAATACCTCTCCTCCACTGCAACCCCAGATGGGTCTATTGTGGCTCTCCCCTAGAGGTTACAGTTCACTGTACAATCCACATCTTTTTAGAAAGTTCATGGTTGAATTGGATGGGATTTGTCTGAAATCGATAGGTTCTAAATTGGTGAAGCCAAATGTGTCGAACCTTAGTCTTTCTTAGCTAGAGCATGAACATAATATGTGTTCAGCCGTTTCGTCTTCCACACAACAGAACCGACAGTCCGTTTGTTGGTTCAGACCCATCCTTCCCAGGTGGTACCTCAGACGACAGTGTCCCGTAAGCAGTCTGGAATACCTCTATAACTTGATGAAGAATTTTTGGAGGGGTTGATCTATGAGGTATAGGAGGTTGAAGGTGGTCAAAAATGTTTCAGTCAAAAAGCTGATTTTCAACAATATAAATCGACGGGTCCGAGGACTTTTTGAAATATATTTTTGTTTTATAGAGATACAGATTTTATTCTCACACAGTTTTCCACACAATATAATATATAATAATCAGGAAAAAATATCACGTATTCATAATACGCCTAAATTTTTAAATTTGCGTACAGCAAAAATTTCGAAAGTTTTGCTCTTGGTGAGCCGACATGCAATAATAGTGAGTTATTCGATTACATAAAAGTTGTGAACTGTGATCTCGATTGATTTTGAAAAAGGTTTCTTGTGATTTGTTTTGTAATTCTGAATCATATACAACAATATACCATTTTATTTATCGCTGCAGGTCCGAAGACACCCTGTGGAATAAAGCATTTCAAAAAAATTTCTTTTTTATAGGAATATGTCACATGCATATGGCTGGAATCCCAAATTGTGAGTATAGAAATTTTAACATTCTGATTTCGATTAATTTCACAGAAAAGTAACGAAAGATGACGATATCACTAACAAATTTTTAATTTTTCGATACCTATATAAAAAGATTTGTCAATTGGATTATGCAATACAATTTCTTCTCAACTGAACCTGAAAAATGATTATAATATCTTTTACGAAACAACAACATTTGAAAGTTATTCTGAGAGCACCTAAATAAAATCATGTACCTTTATGATTATTTTTATTGAAATGATTTTTTTCACGGAAAATAAATAAATCCTTATAAAAAACGTATTGTATCTATATGATATCTTCATGAAAATTGTAACAGATATTCCCAACATGCTGATGATATTAGTTTTTTGCTAAAAAAATGAGTGATATCAATAGTGGATTATTTAAACTTTGATTCGATCATAGTAGATCGTGTGAAATGAGAGAATTGAGAAAGTAGATCGCATTGAGCAAAAAGAAATTGGAGTCGGTCGACGAATAAGAGAATACACAGGTGGTGCAGCTCACACAGAGATAGTCGGTAGTATAGTTTATCCAATATCAATTGCAGAATACCCCGCATTGTGCGGCGTCGGCGTGTTTGAAGTTCCCTTTGAAGTGACTGCAGTTGAGACACTTGACTCTGCATTTGATTTTGGGTAAACTATAAATACCAAACGTTTAGGAAAATAGGCACCAGTCACTACATTCATCGAATAATACCACAACAAAATTATATCATACTATACTATGAGTATCATACTATTTTGTAGTGGTAATATTCGATATAATATAGTACTATACAATTTTTTAGTGGTTATATTCGATATAATATAGTATTATACAATTTTGTAGTGGTATTCAATGTATATATGCTATAGTTTGGATCTCAGACAAATTCTCGGCTTCCAGAACCCCTCCGTACCATCATCCAAAGCATGCCTAACCATGCATGCCTTGTTCATCATTCAATGAATGAATGTATCAAAATTTGACGAGATCAGAAGCTTGAAATGATTGTTTTGCCGACCAAATAGTTATCTATGTGTATTGAAGATGCATTTTTCAACATAACAGATATAATATTCAATATTTTGTAGTATTATAATATGTTCATTTTCTATTATTTATGTTTCGGAGGTCAAATTCGAAGGAATGACGATTTTCCACCAATTATGCACTTGTCCTGTCAATTTTCTCGCCACAAGAGGTCTCCAATGGGATATGCTGCAAGTGGTACCAGGACAATTCCAATACAAACCTTCTCACCCTATCACTATAAATATCCCTAGGTATTCGATAAGTAACACAATAGGTTCCACGAACATGTATTGAAGTCCCTGTCACAGTGTCACAGGCTACTGAATATTGAGAAAAATCGGATTGTTTATTATGCCTAGATATAAAGCCTGAAAAAATATCAATCGGAGTGCATTGGCAGTTCATCATGAATATGTCTTCCTGAATTGTATATAGCGGAGCTACACTCACCCTGTTTTTTTATGTTCTGGTTCCCACAAAAAGGGATATCCTGTAATGTTCCGAGAACATCGTGAGAACCAAGGGAAATTAAATAGGAATTGGTGTTCTTCTTAAATTTCTAGAGGTTGAATGCCTCGGGGAACACCTCCCTTGGCAATGTGTTCCAGAGCCTCGCTGTTCGTTGGATGAACGAGTCTTTGGGAAGAGATGTTCTACAGGTCTCGTAAGTGACCACGAAGGGGTGCAAATCCTCAACTCGACGGGATAATCTCGCGAGGACTGCCAAGTGGAGAACAATTAATGATAATTCAGAAGAGCATCGTCCATGGAAATATAGAGCCAGATCGCCAACTTTTCTACGGTGTTCCGTATCACCCACGAGACGAATTCCCCATTTTTGGACAGAATCCAACAGTTTCAGGGTATGTTTGGGTGCTGCACTCCAAATATGGAAACAGTTTTCCAGTACAGGTCAGATCTGTGCCTTAAAGCTCATAAGCAGCTGACTGGAAGTGGAATAGCTACTGGCCCGGAACAGAAAACCAAGTTTTCGGGATGCACTCTCAGCAATTGATCTCATGTGATTTTCTCAAGAAAGGTTATTGCTGATAGAAATACCTAGCATCGAAATGGATGTCTTCAAAGGTATGGTTACTCCTTACAAGCTTAAATTGGATACAGTGAGATCGGCTTTTATGGGAAAAAGGTATGCCTATGTTTTGTTTGCATTGAAATCTACCAAGTTATTGGATCTCCATTCGAGAATTATTGTTGCCAAGTCCATATTTATGTTGTCAACATTTCTCCCTCGTTCTTTTCTGATTTACCTGGCAGGTAGAAATGGTATTGGTGCTAGAATTGAACCTTGCGGAACACCAGCATTCATGATGAGAGAGTGAGATGAAACTCCGTCGACCATTACATGGAGAGGCCGGTGTGAACGAAAACTACCCAGCAGAGAACATAGCTGGGGAGACGATAAGCCATAAGATGGAAGCTTGGCGAGGAGCCCGTGGTGCCAGACTTGATCGAATGCCTTGGAGATATCAAGTGCCACGGCTAAGGTTTCACCATATTTTTCAATAGATTGCTGCCATATATGTGAGACGTAAGCGAGCAGGTCACCAGTTGATCTCTGATGACGAAAGCCATATTGCCTATCGCTGATAACACCTGAGTGCTCCAGGTATTTCATGAGCTCGATTTTGAAAGCTGTATAAATAAGAGCAGAGAACAGATGTTAGTTCGGGAGCACAGTCCTTGAGGACAATCGGTGGGATTCCGTCGGAGCCACAAGCTTTGTTGGTGTTGAGACCCTATAAAATATTCCTTATAGTACGTTGGCGGAAGGTGATCTCGGGCATATGACTGTCAATTGGCGTTATGTTTGGAGGTTGTTTTCCTGATGAATCCAGAGTGGAATTTCCAGCATATAAATGCGCAAAAATGTTGTCTTTCTCCTGGGCAGTTGTGGCTAGTGTAGCATCATCCTTGGTTAGGAAACGAGCTGAAAGTTAAGTTTCTTCCAATAGCTTTGGCGATGGACCAAAATGAACAGAAAACGTTAAGACATTCAACAAGTTTTGATCTCATTTTAGCATTATAAGCAGCCTTTGATTATCGCATTGTCTCATTGCATATGTCTCTAGCCTCGACATATTCTACTCTAGTCTCAGGGCCTGAATTTCTCTGTCATCGATGGAATGCTGCCTGTTTGGAAGCGACAGCTCTAGAGCAGTTTCTACTGAACCAGGCCTTACCAGAAGATATTCTTGCAGTGTTCTGTATGTAGGTTTGCATCTCCCAACATGATGATTTCAGAAATTGTCTCAGCACATCGTGTTGGGTCTTCTGAGGAGAAACAAACTCCCTTCCATGGAAACGCTATATATAATGTGTGCGATCCGAAACAACAAAACTCTCGTCTTCTGGAATGCGTTGACTAATGTCGATCAAAATGAAAACCTCACTAACTACCTAACTCATTTCGAAAACTTGAAATGTCGAAATGTTGGTAGTACTTCCATCGTGTGATCAAATTTGATATATTCATTTTTTGAAACCCCGTTTTTTTTTGTATCAATAGCCTATTTGATTCGGTCATATCTCAAGAATAATACTTACTCTTGTACAAATTCCGAGCATGATATCTCATACACGGTATGTTCATTTCACGAAGGCCAATTTCAAAATTATTGCTCTTGTATCTGATCCTGTACGAAAGCAAGGAAAAGTCCTTGAAGTTTATATTACCAAAAGTGGCTATCACTCCAATTCTCTCATTTTGAAAACATTTATCAATGGAATTAGATTCAACAAACTCTAACCAGAATCAATATTTTTAATTTTCAGATTAAACCTGATGGTACTCTGAACAGGGATCGCATGATGGAACTTTGCCCTCCTCAGATAAAAGAAACTGGTCCGAAAATAGTACTAGGATGTTGGGAGAAAGTTGAAGGTGAGTTTCCGTTCACATCTACAATAACGCCATTTTGTTCACTGAAATAATTCAATTCAAGGGTTCGGTGCATGGACAAAAATTTGGAATTAATGAATATTAGGAGCAGTCAAGGGTGAGCACTATCTGAGGGCCCAATTTACTCGAACGTGAAAACAAAGTTTCTCTCCGTAAACTTTGGAAAAAATGTCCACGACTAACTACGGAACGTCTCTAAAAATATATCGTGGTTCAAAAAACTAAAAATCACACTTTCATATGTACAGACGAACTAAAAACAGCAGAAAACAATTGTTATTCATACAACAAGTGCAAGAAGTACCTAAGTGTTTATTGCACGCGTTGTGAATCTGTCAAACGAGGCGGTTATCCCTCCCGTCATTTACCATTTATGTTGTTAATTCCATTGAAGACCTGTTCGAATCAGAAATCACAGGGTCTGAGCATTGTTCTATATTTTTATTCTGAAGTCCTGAAATCGGGGTTTGAAGTTTTCGTTGGACCACCCTGTATAAATGGAAGAACAATGCTATTTCTTTTCTGACGAGTATGCGGAGAGCGTATGTAGTACTGGGCCGGCCATGCATAATTTGAAGCAAACTATACAGATTGTTAGCCCAATCGTTACATATACCGGGTGTTTCACAATAATGACTACCTCTATAACCCTATAACAAATGCAATTCGCTTTTTTAGTCCAGTTCACAAATATGCTTTGATAGACGTATTCAATTGTTTTCTGTCACTTCCTGTTTAGCCGGAAATGACCCTTATTTTCTTATTTTAAATGCGAAACTTTTGGTATGTTTTTACTTATCTCGATGAAGAATGACATTGTGAGTACGATGACACCACATTTGCCACTTCTTGACATTTACCATTCTGGAATTTTCATTTTTGAATCTTCCATCTAGAGTGAATATGATATTATGATTCAAAATATCGATCATGTGGTATCAACGTGTTCGCAACGAAATACTCTTCTCAAATATTGTCATGAACCACCCTTGTTCTATTAAAAATTAATTGAGTCAACATCATGATAATTATTACGACTTCTTAAACAACCTGTGAAACAAATGGAGAGTGAAATTACATCGAAAATATTTTTCCATGGCAACTGGTTCGGAATCAATCGTTTTAACTCATTCATGGCACTCTGTATTGAAAATTGATAAACAGAATTTTAAGATGATACCTACATGTCTGGAAGTTGCAAATGTCGTGTAGTTGTACTCACAATGTCATTCTTAATCGAAATAAGTATAAATATGCCGAGTATCCCATTCAAAATAAGAAAAAAAGAGAATCGAATAATGCATATTTATATACTATACTCACACACCCAATGTCATGTGTTTATCTGTAGAAACAAAAAAATTGAAGAGGTGAGCTACTTTTGAGAAACACCCGGTATAGGGCATGTGAATGGCAACATGATTCAGCTATAGTACGTTTCCGCTAGTCTAGATTTCCCTAGATTTGAAAGAATTGTGAAACATTTTTGAATAACGAAAATATGTTAAAATCATGATAATAAAGGGGAGTGAAACCATTGAGTGGGACACCCTGTACCATAACATTTTGACCACCCTGTATATGATCTGAAGGAACTGCTGAAAAAGCAATTCAGATTACTATGGCTAATCCATGTCAAATTTAAAATACCCGTATTCAGGAGTCAGCGGATGTGCTAATTTAATATCTCATTTTTTGTTTTAGAGGTGACTCCCCTGGAGAAGAGAGTATACGAACTGCAGAAATGTTTCTACAAATCTGATCCAGAGGTAGGGTGAAGCAAATATCGTCATTGAACTATATATTATCAATATAGCATTTTTTCAATTTGCAGAATTATATTATGATTTGATGAGACGATGATACTGACCCGTAAATTGAGGCAGCCCTCCTGCGAGCGTGGATTTGGACTTAACTACATGAGAGTTTCCTCTTCTTCCTCAAGAATTATAAATTGAAACTTCGAATCATTAAACCTTTCGATTCAATAAATTCGTTTTTATTGATTACGCAAGTAGCAATTTGGCGACGACAACCATATAATACACCAAAACTAGCGTTGTACGTAGTAGGTATTGAAATTAGTCATTCATTAAACGAAGTCCTCTCAACCACCGAACAACGTCGTCTCAATGTTTAGCATGACTTAAGTTGAACTATGACGTTGTTACAACGTTCACCCAACCAACTACAAAGTAGTAAGTATTCTGGGAATGGCAAAATGACGTTTTGACTTCAAATATGGTTGAGTGACAACTTTAGTTATTCAAACATTCAAATCTGAACATATACTTGTTCACAACTGACCTATTTTTAGGACATGACATTACATGATGATTTGATGAATGATGTCAGTGTCAAAATTCCTCAAATTCTTCTGGATAGCTGAATGCTGAGGCCTGTTGTTCTGAACATCTTCGGAACGAGAGCAGTATGGTGTCTCTTATTCATGACTTATGTGAACTCAAGTTATGGTGAAAAGCTTCCGAAATTGAAAATAACACGAGCCTTCAAATACACTAATGGCTCCTATCAGGCAAAAAAAGAGATTATATCGTGAAGATATTTCACAGGTATAAGCCTACATGAAGACAGAGCGATTGTAGAGTTTGATTTTTTATGCAGGAATAATCATCAACTTGCACCTTTGTAGGGGGCCAGTATGCCCTGACCAGTTTCTTCCCATTCGTGTGGTAAAAGGGTCCTACCTCTTGGTCCTCTTGCGTGCTTTTTATGTTCAAAGCTATGAAATGGGCAGCCATTATTTCTGAAATCTTTTGCTATCCCAGATTTCAGAAGAAAATGTGATAGAGAGAATAAAGAATGCGGAAAATACGAGAAATGACATCAATCATATCAATGGTCATCGATCGATGACAAATGACATTTAACGCAAATGATGGCGAGAGGCGCGTTGCACAATGTGGAGCATGGTGGAGTAGTTGGACTGCGTTCAGTTCAAGGTCGGATACGAAACCCCATCAGTTGCAGTTCAGGTATAAAGTTGGTTCTCCAGCAGACTAAATTTGAAAGCCTTTAATACTCCTACGCCATGTTTGAAGTGTAATTCTCTTTGGGAAATTTGTCGGCCATTGAAACTTAGGGAATAAACAAACATATTTAGGAGTATCATTGCCCTATTTCATTCACTCCAAACAGGTCCCAAAATGACTCACTAGCACTAGATAGAGACTGAAGTGAGCCGGTGATAAGAAACTTATTCCATTATTCCAAAGTGAATTGAGAAATTAACCATCTGATTCTTGACAAATCAAATTGTAACATCACCTAATTTCAGTGATACTCATCCCGGACGCAGAAAAATAGTGTGATTAAATGGGTCCCATATACAAAGTGACGTTGAAATGAATACATATAGTACTAATATATGTAATTCTTTTCTTGTCTTGATCTGAATTATCATTGTTTTTTCTACGGTTATTAGTGAACATCCTGAGTTCTGGTCTATAACACAAATTGCATGATTGTATTCGGAAGACAATTATGCAGATTCCAGATTAATTCATAAATAACAAGAACAAAATGGCACTTATATACATAAACTTAATGTGGTAATAATAACTAAATAATATTATTTGTCGTACTTAACCTATATAACTGAATTTGGCACATTTCAATTAGCACAGGGGTACAGTATGTCTTCATCACCTAATTTCTGGCAAAATCTCAGATTCACCTAAGCCCCCAACAACTAGCACTGAAGGTTAGTTTCAGTCGAATGATTCAGATAAGTAAACCATAAAAATGGTTTCACTGGCCATTTTTCCATTCATTTACAATAAGAAAGACAGATATAAGATGATTTTGCACTTATGAGATGGGTATTTCGGTCCAAAAAACACGAACTTGATAATGAAAACGTAATCAAACCACTATTTATCAGAATATTCCATATGGAAGTTTCTAAATTCAAATTTAGGCATTGAATAAGTTTTCTGGTGATATCCTATATCAGAGATTTTTCTGTCTCTAGCTCATTATCTAGTGAATTTGGAAATAGTTTCATAAAATAAATATAATTGATATTTTCTGAACAAATGCGAATACCTGAACTAACCTGATAAATATCAGGGCAATCAGCCACAGGATAGGTTAGTTGAGATATTCGCTCTGCTTTAAGAAATATAAAATGACCTCACTAGTTCAGTAAGTTCACAATTCATCACGCTGGATACCACCAGAAAATTCAGATAAAACTCTACTTTCTCTATGCCGGTGAAAAAGATTTATATGAAGCAATTGGTTTCAGTCCGTTGAATCATTCCGATTGATCAACTTGTAATATGTTACAAATTACAGTAATTACGTACAGAATCGCCTACAATAGGAATACTCATGTGATGGATGTCATAGGGAAAAATGAAAATGTCATATCCTTCGGTAATATTTTAAAATAAATCCGATTTCGTGTATCACCTGTGTTGTCTATTATGCAAATATAATTTGAACAGTATGTAGAAATACCTGTCTCATTTCATCTGAATCAAAGCGGTAGGTATATTGATACTTAGAGTACTTAATTATCAAAATAATGAATCAGTTGTGTCAATTCAATTTTGATACAAAACATGATAATTGCTGTCTAGTATATAATTAAATGATTGATCGACTTACCTGTAGGAAGATCAATCCTAATTATTCGAACATCGTAGTCCTCCTTTGGTACATTTTGATAGATTCCAATAATTATGTCCTGTGTACACGGCTTTAGAGTATAAACACTTTTTTGTTTCCCATGCTCTTATCACCTCGCCTGACCAGTTCCTATGAATCAGTCTAAAAATTTGTGGAGGTACCTATATATTGCACTTTTATACAGGGTGATAGTGATGAACCTTGGGGTGGGAGGGTTTTTGGTACCAAAGGAGGACTACGATGTTCGAATAATTAGGATTGATCTTCCTACAGGTAAGTCGATCAATCATTTAATTATTCTTCACATCTACGTCCTCCTTTGGTACATTTTGATAGATATTCAGAGATCACATAAAAGTGCAATGATACAGTAAATAGAATTTATTAAATTATAAAAAATATAGAATAATATAATAGTAAATGCTGTTTTCACAAAAACGATAACCTTATTGTAGTGATAGCAATAAGGTATATAACAAGTATATTACAAAGAACAACTTCAATATTCATTACCCACTTAGACATTGTTATTAAATTGAATCAATAAATTACAAAACATCATCAAAATGACCTCTAGATGATTTTTCAGTCTTTCAATATAGTTCTCATGAATTTTCCTGGTTCTGAACGAAGAGGTTTATTGTAGAACGTATTAAACACCGTGGATGATTCTGACCAACCGGCAGTCTTCCGAATTATGTCAATATTTAGACCCGCTCTGTATGCAGCCGAAGTGGATGCATGTCTAACACTGTGTCCAGTAAATATGCTTGTGTTTATACCACTCTGTACCAAAATTTCTTTAATCCACCGACTTATAGTTTGTGTAGTTGCTGCTCTTATTGGCTTCTTGTGAGTTATTATAAGAGAATGAACCTGATCAGGTCTTATTGATTTTGTCCTATCCAAATAATGATTTATAGTGGCAGCTACACATAGTTCAGGTTTTTCATTAAAATATGGAAAGGTAATAAATGGCTGATTCCTATTAGGTCCCGAAGTTTTGATTTTATCAGTGATCCTGATCTCCACTTTATCGTCAGAACATATGATATTTTCAAGATGAATCTTGGATAATGTTTGAACCCTATGCGCTGTAGTTAAGGCCAGTAGAGTCACTAATTTATATGTGAGATTTTTTATTGATAACTTCTCTAATGGATACAGTTTTTCAAGTTCCCGTAATACCAATGTTGTGTCCCATGTAACAGAATATTTTGGTACAGAGGGGTTAAGGTTATATGCACCTTTCAAAAACCTTTTGAGTATAATTCTATCTTTTTGCTCAAAATCGAAAATGAGTGATAGCGCGGATCTAAATGTATTCAAAGACGAGTAAGATAATTTAGATTTTAACATTTCGTTCAAAAATTTCAAAATATATGTTATATCATATTTATAGGGATTGATATTTTGTGATGTACAATATTCCCACCATTTTTTGAACACAGAAGAATATTGTTTCAAAGTAGTCTCACAAATTGAAGATATCATTGTTGGAACAATTTCTTCTGGGACGTTCTTGGAAAATGCAGCCCAGATAACTTCCCGACCACCAGGGAAAGATTCCGATGTAGGGGATGGCTTTCCCTGGAAGGAGATAATAATAATGTTTCATGTGGGGAAAATCTTACCGGCTTTCCCACTAGTAATTTGAAATATAACGGGTACCATGATTGGGATGGCCAGTCTGGAACAACTAAAATTCCTGTAGCTTTATCTGATATAATTTTTTCAAGGGTCTTATGAATCATAGAAAACGGTGGAAAGCTGTAAAAATAATAGTTCTTCCAGTTGATTGTGAAGGCATCAATTGCTATGGACTCTGGGTCAGGACCCCAGGATACATACGGGTCACATTTTCTATTTATTCTTGTTGCAAATAGGTCTATTTCCGGTTTTCCGAATTTTTTCACAATATAATTGAAAGACATTCGATTCAACTCATATTCACTATCAATTGAAGTTGATCTTGAAAGTTGATCTGCCTTCACGTTTTTTACAGAACTAATATATGAGGCCTGAATCAATATTCTCCTATCTTCACACCAAAGCCACATTTCTCTTGTGATATCATTCAGATGTTGAAATCGAGTACTTCCCATCTTATTGATACAGGCTACTGCTGTGATATTATCAATTCTCAATAAAATTGTTTTTTGACATACATTTTTTGCTATACATTTCAATGTATAA